AAAACGTACACATACAGTTATGGACCATACACAGCACCATTCACAGTTGAGAGAAATATAAACAAATGTGAAGATTTAGTATTAAATCAGTACGCGTAACACTAACTATAGCACACACTGTGCTGCTGTAATCATTTCATAGCCACCTCCTGCTGCTGTTGTGGCGAACTCCAGGTTGTGAGTGTCCACTTAAAACACCATGTGATGCTGATCATCTCCGTGTGAGCAGTTTGTCTCTCCAGTAAATTGCAAATTACAGTAAAAAGTGATCCCCTGCGGTTCTTGTGTGTTTTCCATGGTGTTTAGTACAGTGCTGTAACCCTTGAATAACACCCTGGCACCTGTACGAAGTGCCACTAGAGTTGCTGGAAGTGCTTCCAAGGAGTAGAGAAAAGTCGTGACATTACCAAAAAAAGATGACTTGCTTCATCTGTGCAGTAGACTGAGGTCTACAGCTGTGGGTGCCGCCATTTTGAGGTAAATGAATCCAATATAAGAAACACTATAAGAGGCCGGGCGTGGTGGCTCACGCCTGTAATCCTAGCACTTTGGGAGGCTGAGGCGGGAGGATCGCTTGAGGTCAGGAGTTTGAGACCAGCCTGAACAAGAGTGAGACCCTGTCTCTATTAAAAATAGGGAAACGAGGAGGCTGAGGCAGGAGGATCCCTTAAGCCCAGGAGTTTGGGGTTGCTGTGAGCTGGGTTGATGCCACGGCACTCTCGCCCTGGTGACAGAGCAAGACTCTGTCTCAAACAAAACAAAACAAAAGCTGTAAGAAAAGAAAAGAGAATTCATGAAGCCATCAATGCAGCCATGCCAGCCAGGCCCAAAAAAGCCTTGTGCTTTTTGCAAAATGTCTTTTTATCTCACACTGAGAACGCAGCTTTTATGTGGGCGTGGGATTGCTAAAAGAAAGGTATTCTTACACACTCTAATACTATTTGAGAAAAAGCAAAGTCATCACATGACAAAGCAAGAAAAGGTGAAGTATCTAAAGGTGGGAATGTAATACCAGCAAAGGATGGGTTGACAATTTTAGAAAGAGGTTTGGCTTAAAAATGTGAAAGTAACAGGAGAAGCAGGTTCTGCTGACCAAGAGTCAGCAGGTGAGTCCCAGATGCTGTCAGGAAAATCACTGAGGAGAAAGGAGATCTGCCTGAACAGGTTTTTGACACAGAAATGCTCTATTCTGGGTAAAAATGCCAGAAAAGGTATTTATTGGCAAGGAAGAAAAGTGAGCACCAGGATTTAAGGCAGGAAGGGGTCAACTAACTACTGCTTTGCGCAAATGCCGTCGGGTTTACGGTTGGGACTGCCCTTATCTGCGAAGTTGCTAACCCCGGGGCTTTTCGGTTGTACAGCAGGAAGGCCTGGACGAGAACCCTTTCTCTGGTGGTTCCATCTAAGCTTTGTCCCTGACTCGGGGAGTACCACACTAGTAAGGGACTGACTTCTACAGTTCTTTTGATATTGGGCAGTGCCCCTGGTCACCCGGAACACCATGAGTTCAACACCAAAGGCGTCAAAGTGGTTTACTTGCCCCAAACACGATGTCTCTACTTCAGCCTATAAGTCGGGGGGGTCATGAGGACCTTTAAGGCCCGTTACACATAGTACTCCTTGGAAAGCATCGTCAACACTACGGCAGAGAACCCCTGCAGAGAGAACGTCACAAGCATCGGGAAGGATTCCACTGTGGAAGGTGCCATCGTTGTTATAGAAAAGCCATGACAGGCATCAAGCCCTAGACAGTAAGTCTGTGCTGGAGAACACTGTCCAGGTGTGTGCGTGACTTCACGGGATTCATGACAGACCAGTCAAGGAAGTCAGCAAAGGGACTGTGGATGTGGCAGCAAGGGTTTCAAGATGTGGATCTTGGGGAAACTCAGGAGCTGACGGACCCCACCCCGGAGGGATTAACAAGGCAGCTTGGTGGAGACGAGTGCTTCCCAACAGCGCCAGAGGCTGGGAAGAAGACATAGGAGAAGCAGGGCTGGAAACAGACTGGCATTAGACTGCCTGGCGGAGGGTTCCAGTCATTCGAGACGGCTTTCGACGTCTTTCACGACGTGGCACTGACCCTTCCCTGACCTGCACGCTGAAACTAAAGCAAATGGTGGAAGCAGGTTTGGTACCGTGTAGAAACATTTTTAGGGAAATGAAAAAGGAAAAAGTCAGACAGAAATCACAATGTATTTCTGTAAAGTCACTCTGAGAGAGCCGCCTCTCCTGCCTCCCCTTCCACCTGCTCCACCACTGGATGGCGAGCCCAACCCCTCCTCCCCCTCCTCCTCCTCAGCTACTCAACGTGAAGACAGTGAGGATGGAGACCTTTATGATGATCCACTTCTACCTAATGAATAGTAAATATATTTTCTCTTCCTTATGATTTGCTTAATAACATTTTCTTACTCAGCTTACTTTATTATAAGAATGCAGCATATAATACATACAACATGCAAAATCTGTGTTAATCACCTGTTTATGTCACTACAAGGCTCTGGTCCATAGTGGACTATTAGGTAAGTTATTGGAGACTTAAAAGTCACATGTGGATTTTCTGCTATGCAGGGGGTCGAATCCCCACATCGTCCAAGGGTCAACTATGTATCAGAAATCTGTTTGTAGAATTTACTTAAAAACTGCTGTTAAACATACACACACACACACACACACACACACACACACACGCACCCCATTTAGCCATTCACAGACTCACTGGGCAGATTTGACGGACTCATTCTTGCACTACAATAGTTCTCTTTTGTTGATTGTTTCCTTTGCTGTGCGGAAGCCTTTGAGTTTGATGTAGTCCCATTTATTTACTTTGTTTCTGTAGCCTGGGCTTCTGGTGTGATATCCAAAAACTCAGTGCCAAGGCAGTGTGGAGGAGCTTTTCCCTCTGCTTTCTTCTCGGAGTTTATGGTTTCGGGCCTCACCTTCGGGCATGTCGTCCACTTGGTTAAGGGTCCAATTTCCTTCCTTTGCACGTGGAAATCTGGGCTCCCAGCACCGATCGCAGAGACTGTCCTTTCCTCACGCGTCTTCACGTGCCCTTATTGGGGAGTAGTTGTCCGTATATATTTGGACTCATTTCTGAGCCCTCTATTCTGTTCTATTGGTCTATGTTTCTGTTTTTATACCAGCACCATACTGTTTTGACTACTTTAGATTTGTAATATAATTTTAAATCAGGACGTGTGATGCCTCCAGCTTTTTTTTCTTAAATGAAAAGGCAACCTATGGACTGGGAAAAATAATTGCAAACCACATTATTTGATAGAGGGTTAATATCCAAAACTTATAAAAATTCTTACAACTCAATAGCAAGTAACCTGATTAAAAATGGACAAAGGATATGGATGGACATTTCTCTAAACAGGACATAAAAATGGCCAACAGGTACATGAAAAGATGCTCGACATCTCCCGTCATAAGGGAAATGCAAATGAGAACCACTGTGAGCTATCGCCACTCACCTGCAAGGATGCCTGTTACCAAAGAGTGAAGAGAGAACAAATGTTGGCAAGTGTGTGGATGACAGGGAGCCCGGTGCACTGTTGGGGGATGTAGATTGGTGCAGCCACTGTGGAAGACACTGTCCAGGTTCCT